TTGGGGCCTCTAGTTGCACCGCTCGTCATCTGCATATCCCCAAAATATGTCGCCAGATGCATTCAGAATACAATTGGCGAAAAAAAAAAAGAATACAATTGGCCAAATGGCGAATGGTGGTCTTGTCGAGTCGAGTCGACTACTACTACCGTGGTCGTAGGCCCTCAGACCGCCGCTCACGTTAATACACGTCATGTCATCCTGACCCGTGTTCTCCCGTCCCTAATTGTAAGCTCCCATGTCAGACGAGGGCAACATTCCCTCTTCTTTTTTTTTTTTTTTTTTTTTTTTTTTTTTACAAAAGCCGGAAAACGGACCCGGAGTCCCTTACAGAAGGAAAAACAGCAGGCCGAGTTCCGGATCCGGCAAGTCCGGCCGGATACAGATCCGGACTGCAGGAATGACCATCCCATGTAGTAGTACCAAAAACGCCAGACACCCAACATCGTCCGCACAGTCTCCAAGCTATCGTATCTTCTATAGTAACCTACCCTTCCCACTTCTTGTTCTCCCGTCCTCTACCTCCCTCTTCCTCTTGCACCACTCGTCCATTCAAGGGCCTCGTTGCACTGCTCACTACTCGCCATCTGCCAAGTTCTTGATTGCATGTGGACATCATATTCGTCCAGATGCATTCGAATTCTTGGCGGATGGCGAGCAGTGCAACTAGGGCCCAAATCCATCCACTTTTCGTCCAACCGGACAGACACAGCTTCCCGGGGCCCAAATTCCAAATTCCAAATTCCAAATTCCTTCCTCCTGCTTTCCAGGTCGTGCTGCTAACTCGCTGGAACAGCGGTCGGTGTTGCTGTAGTTCCAGTCCTGTCCCGTTCCCCGACAGCACAGCTGTAGGGTCAGACCCTAGATGCCTCTCGGCCATGGTCCCCGCTGCGTCCCTGGTCCTGGTTCTTTTTTCTCGGTCCCTGTCCCCGCTCTGGTCCTGGTTCTRTGGTCCCCGCTGCGTCCCTGGTCCTGGTTCTTTTTTCTCGGTCCCTGTCCCCGCTCTGGTCCTGGTTCTTTTTTCTCGGTCCCTGTCCCCGCTCTGGTCCTGGTTCTCTCTCGGTCACTGTCCCGCTCTGGTCCTGCTTCTAGACCCTATCCCACTCACTCTCACTCCGTGCACCGCAGCTGCTCCTGTGTGTCTAGTCGTCCTCCAGCTACTGGACCACGTCCGGTCCTGGTTGTCGACCCTATCCCACTGACTCTCACCTGGCAAGTATGAAAGCTTTTTTTTTTTTTTTTTTTTTTTTTTTAAGAAAAAGGCTCCAGTCTATTCGTGGGGAGCAGCACGTGCTGGGAACCGGGCCCAGCGTCCCATATAGAAATTTACATAAAATTTTGAAAATTGAGATACCGGGCCCATTACCCGGCTTTGGCTCAGGAAAAATTGGAGCTGCTTAGGAAATGACTGCTACAAACTTCAGAAATAAGCAGAATTCAGAAAACGACTCAGAAACCCCCCGGGGGCTAGGTCCCACTTGCACGAATTAAGAGATACTGACCGTAGATAGCAAAGATCAACGGCCCAAATCTCCTAATTTGCGCAAGTGGGACCTTGCCCCCGGTCCATACTCTTTACCTCCCTCCGGTAAGACTTACTACAGCAGAGCCTACAGCAGAGCCACCATCTCCGCTGCTGCTATACCCTATATTCCCATCCTACCAGCTAGCCCCCTCACTAGTAGGACGTGTGATATCCCATCTCCCACTCACTTCGTTCTCTTTTTGAGATACCTAAGAACACTAGCAGTATTGAAGGATTTCAAATGATATTATCGGGAGAATTAGATCATCTACCTGAGCAGGCCTTTTATCTTGTAGGAGATATAGAAGAACCTACTGCTAAAGCAGCAACTATACAAGTGCAAAGTGCGCACGTGCGGTCCTGGTTGAAGACCCTATCCCACTGACTCTCACGTCGTGGCCAGTAGTTTCTTTTCTCGGGCACCGGAACCAGGTCCCAGCCGCGCTATGCTGTCAAGCCCGGCGTTTGGTCCTCCGGTGGCCCCCGGGTGGGGGGGGAGTGGGCCGCGCCACGCTTCGTTGAAGTGCCCAAGACGAAGGCGACGCTGGAAGGGTCAAGCAGGCAAGCCTACCCCTATGACCCCTCCGTAGCCCTTGCTTTTCTACAGGCAGGCCACACGAGCTGCACACCAGCTGCCGCCGGACCCGATACTCGGACCAGAACGAGGCACGGCAAAGACAGAAAATTAAAAAAAAAACAAAAACGAAGGGAAAAAAAAGCAAAACCAACAACAAAAAACGAGGGAGACCGAAGGACGAGTAAGGCACTAAAACTGGGATTTTTCCACTCAGCTCTGGACGTAATTACAGTCCGAAAAACCCAGTTGGAGCCGGAATTGCAGTTATAACATCAGGAAGAGGCCTAGTCTGAGTAAGCCCTGCAAGGGCCTACCGCCGCAGTTTCACAAACCACATCCGGGGCCAAGTCCCACTAGCAGCGTTGAGCTACCTCACGCCTCAATCTGGAAGTGCTTGTGGAGACGTGCAGTTCAGCAAACTCGACACCATTTCTGCACATCTCCGCGAAAGCGTCCAGATTCCGGCGTTGAGGTAGCTCAACCCTGCCAGTGGGCCTTGGCCCCCGCCAACATTTTGAATGCATAGTTGTCCTGAATGCATTCAAATTGTTTTTTTTTAAATCTTTTTTTTTTTTTTTTTTTTTTAACCGGGATTTCCCAGGAGGTCACCCTTCCAATTTAAACGGATGTCCCGATGGACTCGTTCAAATTGTTGGCGGAAGGCGACTGGTGCAACGCACAACTTGTCCTAAATAAACACCCCCCCCCAAAAAAAAAAAAAAAAAAAAACTGGTCCTAAAGAAGAGACAGCGGAGAAAGTCACGGAAGAAAAACCAAGAAGCCGACAAAAAGAACAATGTTCCTGCAATACGACAGACCGAAGAGGGTTTGCGAGATAACATAAGATTTCGGGGCCCAATTGCGTGTCATCCTTGGAAGCGCAGGGGCCATGCTAATCAATCTTCTCTGTACCGTTCCAATTTAAAAGGGATGTCCCCAAGTACGGGATCTCGATTTCGGGCGGCATCTCCTTCCCTGGGACCAGGAGCAGACCGTAATCCAATTTTGAAGGACAAGTCCGATTCCAAAGGACCGGACAAAACGACAAAAGACAGAAGAGGGAAGCGACACGCGAGGGCAAAAGGACATGCAGTAAATCCTGCAGCCGTTTTCGCCACCCAATACGACAAACTCTCTCTCTCTCTCTCTCTCTCTCTCTCTCTCTCTCTCTCTCTCTCACACACACACACACACACACGCACACACACACACACCCAATAGAGAAGAAGAAAGTGACAGCTCGGCTCGTCATAATTATACAAATCCTATGAAATCACCGGGCGAGAGATCCCACTTGCCAGGATTCTTCGTTTCCAACCGTAGATGAGGAAGATCGACGGCCAAAACGCGTATAGTCCGGGTACACGGGACCTTTAAACCGGAAAGCGGAGCGTGGTGGACGGTATAGCCCTTCGCGTGTTGAAAGTGAGAATTGGAAACCGTCCTCAGCTTTTCCCTCTGCTCAAAACTGAACCCACTGGTTTCTTTTTTTTTCACTGCTTTTCCCTCTGTTCGTATTCCCTGTTCCTTTTCTTACCCCATCCCTTTGTCTGTCGCCTGGCTGATATTTTTATTCAGCAAAATAGAGGTCCGAGGGCATAAAACACGGGCCTTCTCTCTCCTCTCTCCGCAGCTGCGTCCGCCACTGTCAAATCCCTTCCCTCTCTTTTGGGTGTCGCTCCACTACTGTCCACTGTACAAAATTGTGGACACTTCGTGGACAGCTATGGGAGTGCACAAAATTCGTGCAAAAAAAAATAAATAAACCAAAAAAACATAAAAAATCGTGCAACGCGGCATCGCTCCACTTGTTGCTGTACACAAAACCCCAATTCGTGAGTTCCCTACAACTACAAGACACGCCCGCAGCAGTACAAGACAATACACACCCCGATAGCATTTGGTACGCCCAGACTCCTGTTTGCTCGCTGTCCAAAAAGCCAAAAAAAAAAAAAAGAGGTGCCCGGCCTCTTTCCTACGACTTTTAATTGAAATTGATATTCTTTCCAAAAAAAAAAAAAAAAAAAAAAAACAACCGGAGCTTTATTTCTGAGCTCGGCTCGTAAGCTAAACTGGCTAACGCAACCAAGAGCCTAGCTGAGGCTAGCTGAAATATAGACCTGAGTTCGAATCCAGATGATGGAGCTTGATGAGAAAAAAAACAACTACTAATGAATTGCGTGGGGCCGGTCAGCTCAATGATAATATATCAAGGCCGTTGCCCTGTTTAAAGAGAGTTAAAAAAAAAAAAAAAAAAAACTGGCTAACGCTGCCAGGATAACTCCGGCCTCTGTTCCTTCAATTTGCAATAAAAGACTAATACTTTATATTATTCAAAAAAAAAATGAAAGGCCGGAGCGTGCGTGGGTTCCTACGAGGACCGTCCACGAAAGTACTTGTGCACCCTGGGAGCTATACAAAACTGGACACTCAATTTTCCAGGGTACTTTTGACCAATGTCCAAGCCATTTTGCACACCGACAATGGACAACAGTGAGTGGAGCCACGTCCCACTGTCCACATTTTCGTACAGTGGACATGCAGTGGAGCGATGCCCTTTCTCTCCTCTGCTTTTTTACTTGTTTCATTCAACAGATTCGATCAAGATTCGAACTCCAGGGAAAAAAAAAAATAAAAAAAAAAAATCGAACTCAGGTCGGTTTGTCCACCAAGCATGGGCGTACCATTCGGCCACCTATACTTTGCTCTTCATTTTTTTTATTTTTTATTTTTCACTACGCTATATTCTTCTCTCAAATCTTTCGTCATCTATTTAAAAATAAAAATAATAATAAAATAAAAAAATCATCATCTTTCAATTCTCCTGCACTAACTACCTACCTACCTACCTACCACTACTCCTAAGGCTTATACAGGGGACCCCTGCAAACATAGCAGCTTCGTTGTCTCCCTCCAGACGTCAGAGGGGATCCATGTTGGCCCGGGGTGGGGGTCCGGCTAAAGCAAAGACCAAGCATTTTGTTTGCCAGTAGCTGCGCCTCCCTTTTTATCGCCCCCTCCCCCCAACCGAATAACAGCAGTGTCTTAAGCCAACACTCTCCCACACACCACACCACACACAACCCACTCCAACTCACACTCACACCCGTGTTGGCCGAGGACCCTGCTATTACCAATCAGAGGTATCAATCGGACTCTCGCCATCGCCGCCGGTTGGCACTAAGTGTGCCGCAGGTGGTGGTGGCGCGGCTCGAACCCACGACCTCCTCAATGCCACTTGCGTGCCTAACCAACTGAGCTAGGCCGCTGGATTTTTCCTACCTCTCTCTGGTTTTCTTTTCATCCACGTCTTCTTTCTTTCCTTTTTTTCTTCATTGATTGTTTTCCACTCCTCAACATTTCCTATCCCTCGCTTGACTTCTGGGTCAAGGTCCCACTCTCCCGGTTTCATCATTTCCGGCCGTAAATTCCCAAGATCAATAGCCCAAATCTTGCGGGATACGACCAGTACGTCACTTACCCTG